TTGGCCTCCCTGTCTCCATCGCCAGTTGAGCCAACAGTCTCCTCACAGCTGCAGGCGACTTGCAGGGGGCCAAGCAATGGGAAGAGAGCTGAGTCTCTCAGTCCTCTTGAGGGGCAGGGTGCTGGGGACTGAGAAAGTTCTGTCGGGGTAAAAACCTTGACCCTTAGCTCAGTGCAGTTCGCTCCATGTCTCATGGGCCAGGTCTTGGGTCGTGATGAGAACCTAGACCGGGTGGGGTGCAGGGGCCCACAGTCTGCCCCTGGGTTCATTCCGTAGCACAAAGGAGATCTCATCTTCCAGGGGAGAGCTTGCAATGTTTGGAGACATTTTTGGGGTGGTCACAACTGGGGCTGGGGGCGGGTTGTGCTACTGGCATCCAGTAGTTGGAGCATTTGGACATGCTGCCAAACATCACATGACGCACGGGATGGAGCCCCCCACCCCCACCCCACTCCCCGCCATGGTGAAGAGTGGTCCGGCCCATAACGTGCTGAGACAGAATGATGGCTGTCAAGAAGGCACGTGCGAGACAGCGCTTGGTGATTTGTAACGGCTGGGGATCTTGAAGATGGTCCCAGAAGCAGCAGGACCTGCCTGGAGCCCAGGGTAGGGATTCCCAGTCTACAATGTGCATGTGAATCCCCTGGGATCTTGTTAAACTAAAGACTCTGAGTCCGGAGGTGTGGGATGGAGCCCGAGATCCTCTATTTCTGTCAGACTCCCAGATGAGGCCACCGATGCTGATCCACAGGCCACACTGAGTAGCAGAGACCTCGAGTACCTCGGGGGAGCAAGTGAGTTGATCGAGGGCATGGCAAAGAGGAGGGAAGGGAAGTGCAGGTGGCTGGGAAGCCATGACCAGGTGTAGAGAGGCCTGGTCCTGGCTCCCACTGGGGCACTCATGGGTCACGGCGAATATATCAGTGAATGGCCGAGGAGGCAACTCTCCAACCATGGCTTCCATTGTACTTCCACTGTTTGTTTCTAGGTCTTATGTGAAAATGCATGGCATGTTCAGATCCTGTTTGAGAGATGCTGGGCAAAGCTAAGTGAAATATTGCTCGGTCCTTTCCAACAGCTCCGTGCTTTAAAACCTTAACACGAACTGTAAATCTCTCAGAGGAAAATTTGATGCTTCCCTGGGAAGGCAAACCAGTTTCCAATGCTTGCAGGAGCATTCAGCTGAATCCTGCCTAACAATTAAGGTGTGAACGGTCTCCTCTCCCTCCCATCGTGGGTCCTGAGACCAGAAGGGTCACAGCCCCCAAGTTGCAAAGGCAGAGAGGGAGGCTGTTGAGATGGGCTCACTGCGGTCGGGAGCAGAGACAGCTGGGGTTTTACCTTAATGGGAAGGGCTGAGACCATGTGTCAAACTTCTCTCTCATCAGAGCCTCTTCTGTGTCCCTGGCCTTGCCTCTAGGAGGAAGACAGCAGTGGTGTGGCGGCTGCAAGCAGCTGGAGGACATAGCTGTGCAGGTGGTAGAAACACTGGAGCTGGACCCAGCCCGGCCGCTGCATCATGGGCACCAGGATCTTGACCCCCTCGCTCACTGAGAAGGGTCTGATCCCAGTGAGCTTTGGGTCAAAGCGGATTTTCCACTTCCCTGAGAAGAGAGAGGACACCACCAGCATTCAGGGCAGAAGGCATGGGATGGCAGGTGTCTCGTTCATCTGGGAGGTAGTTTGCGAGGGGCTGCTGTGTGCCAGGCACTGTTCCTGGTGGGGGCACTACAGTGGTGCACAAGAGACTGTTGTTGGAGGGGAGCTTCCGTACCAGGGGGAACAAGGGACAAGAAAAATAAGGAAAAATATGTTTGATGGTGGGAGTGCTGAGGAGGACAGGAAATGCCAGGGGGAAGGGAGAGCCTCCCTGAGAAGGTGACATGGAGGAAAGACCCGACAGGGTGAGGGAGTGATGGCATGACAGGGAGAATATCCCAGAGAGCGGGGATGGTATGTGCAAAGGCCCAGTGGCAGGAATGGGTCTGGCATGTTCAAGGGACATTAGGAAGCCTGTGGAGCAGAAGGAGTGAGGGAGAGAGGGTGTTAGGAAGGGAGGCCAGAGAGGGAATGAGGACCATTAATTTCTTCATGTGCAAACTGGAGGTATAACAGCTACCTCATTGGATATCTGTGAGCATTCAGTGAGCTGCTCTCAGTGAAGCTGAGCACAGTGTCCAGCACATAGTAGTTGCTCAGTAACTGTTGGCTATTGGTCTTACTATTATAGGGTTCACTGCAACTCTTCAAAATATGCCACTATTCTCTTCCCTGGTATCAGCTGGATGGAGAAGCTTGAAGGCAGTCTACAAGTAAACCATGGGCTACGGGGCCCAAGGAGCTTTGTCAGGGTTGGGGTGAGCCCACCCCTCCTCCTTTGGAGCTGGCCTCCTGCTTTCCCTTCTCCCCTGGCAGTGGAGGCTCCCAGTCAGGAGTTGAGGGGTCCAGCTCTGAGGGGCCACATGGCCAGCCTTGCAGGGCAGGAAGCGCCGAGAACCAGGAAGCTGAATTTCTGAGCGCTGTAATCTTGACAGTGTCTGGAGTCCAGGTGTTATACCAAACAACGTCTCCCATGTGAAGAAGCCCACAGTCTTGTGGGGTTAGAGACAAGTAATCAGAAAACTATGATACTGCATGTTAAGTCTTCAGGTTAAAGAGAGGAACTGGTACCACCAGAACACAGAGGAGAGGCATTTGTCCCCTCCAGTGGCTCTAACCCTCCTGTTCACTGGAGACCCCCAACTGTCTATGCGCAGCCCACACCTCTTATGAGCTCCAGACCCAAATCCCCACTGGCCATCTGGTCACCTCCATCCAGATGTCCTAGAAACCCCTCACACTCAGCATGTTCAAAACGAAAAAATAGTTTTCCCATCGCCACCTACTTTGGGGGATGGTGGGCAGGGTTGCCACACAAAAATCCAGGATTCCCAGTTAAATCTGAATTTCAGAGAAACAAGAAATCATTTTTTAATATAAGTATACCCATGTTTTGTTTTGTTTCTAAATGTGGCAACCCCAGTGGTGGAAGTTGTTAAGGAAGGTTTCCTGGGGGTGGTGACTTCGGAGCTGAGCCCTGACAGGTGGGTAACCAGTGGTGGGGGAAGCGGAGGGGAAGTGGGGAGCAAAGGGGTGGGTGGCCTGTGTAGAGACCCATAGGCCAGAGGGATCACGCAGTTCAGGAAAGGGGTGTTGTGTCATGTGGCTAGCCTGTGATGCTCTTGGAGAGAGGGAGAGCAGGGAGGGTGACAAGAGATGTGGTTGAAGAGATCAGCAGGGAGCAGGTCACTGAAGGGCCTTGTGGTCCGTCCCAAAGATGTGGAACACGATCCTAAGTGCTACAGCTGGGCTGGGGCGACTTAGAGCTTTTCAGCAGTGGAGTTACAAGGTCAAATGTGGCTGGTGGAATGGTTACCCTGACTGCAGTGTGGAAAATGGGTTAAGGGAGGCAAACTGCAGATAGGAAAGCCTGTTAAGAAGCAGTTGCAACACTTGTGGTAAGAGGTAATGTAGCCTGAATGAGGCTAGTGGCAGTGGAGGGGGAAGGTGGAACAGACTGAAGAGAGATGAAGCAGGAGACCCCACAGGTCGTGGTTCCTGTTTAGAAGGGTAGTGTTGGAGGGAAAAGAGACAGAGGATCTGCCCAGCTTGTGGTGAGACCCGGTTTGGGCAGGCACCCTAAGACTTAGAGGAAAAGAAACAGAAGAGGAGATTTTGGGGGGTGGGAGAGAGAGACAGTGGGAAGAAATCCTTCTTGTTTTGAACATGTTGAACTTAGGGCACTTCTTGGACATTTGGGTAGAGGTGACCAGAGTGTCGGTGGGGGTTTGGGTCTGGAGCTCACAAGAGGTGGGGGCTGGGCATAGAGGTTTGGGGGGTCCAGAGTGCGGGAGGGGAGGTCCCACTGGAAAGCCACGCTTGCCCAAGGAAGATGACTGAGGGAGAACTCTATGGAATGCCATTTTTAACAGACTGCACATGAGAGGGAGGTACACAAAGACAGCAGAAGAGGTAGGAGAACGACGAAAACCATGCCGAGCCCACAAAAGGACAGTGTCAGGAAGGAGAGTCCACAAAATAGAGTTAAATGTAGCAATGCTGCGTGGACACAGAAGAGCAGGGCCCCCTGCTCAACGAGGTGTTCCTTTTTGAGGAGGGGACGGGATGCAGCTTGCAAAACACTTTGGGATGAGCCTGGGGCTCAGAAGACTTGTGTTTGGTGGCATGGGAGGCGAGCTGGGATAGCCCGCGTGGGCAGGGCTGGCTTTAGGGAGGTGCAACCTGGCTCTCACAAGGGCCCCGAATGTAGCTTCATGCTCTGTAGTCGCCAACTTGAAAAGCGATTTTTGAACAAGGGTCCCACATACGCATTCACTGTGAAACACACAAATTATGTAGCTGGTCTGTGTGGGGGGCACTGTGACCTAACTTTTGGTTGCAGTAGGGCTACAGCCTGAGAGGGACCCAGAACGTTCAGGAGAAGGTACCAGAAGAGGGAGGGGCTGCAGGTACAGGGGAGAGAGGAATTAAGTTGTAGAATTCTCAGAGAGGCAGGAAGACAATGGCGGGGAAACAGAAATACTCGTCTTGGACAAAAGACAGATGAACTTTGTTACAAACTGCAGAGGGATCTAAATAATCATTTCTTACCTTTATTTATTTATTTATTTTACAGGGAGAGACCCAGCAAGAGAGGGAACACAGGCAGGGGGAGTGGGAGAGGGAGAAGCAGGCTCCCCACTGAGCAGGGAGCCCGACGCGGGGCTCGATCCCAGGACCCTGGGACCATGACCTGAGCCGAAGGCAGACGCTTAACGACTGAGCCACCCAGATTTCTTACCTTTAAAGAAAATATAATTGACCAGAATCAAGATGGTGTCCGGGTTCAACTCCTGGGCCAGCTTCCTGATCTTGAAGTGGGTCGTCTTGCTGGTGAAGTGGTCCATCTGCTCCCTGGCTATGTGATTGTTCCCAAAGCGGATGAGGAAGACCTCTGTGTGCTACAGGTTCTGGGCAATGTCGACAAACCTTTGTGCCAGGTACCACTTCTGGTCCACAAACGGTATGCTGTCCACGTCTGGCCGGCATGCCGCAAGGGGCCGCAGGGAGGCAAGGAGTGGCTGGCTGCAGTGTGCGTGGACCCCGTCGTCTGGGACCTGGGTGAGGGGAAAGCCCAGACCCTCTAGGACCTGGGTGTGCACTTCTGGCCTGGCTTGGAGAGCCAGCAGGGTGAGGGGAATGGAGAAGCTCAGCAGGGAGAAGATGATGTTCTTGCCTGGGTTCGCAGCCACCATCCGCCTGTACAGGCTGAAGGCAAAGTGGGAATTGTTCAGGAAGGTTGAGGAGGCCGACAGGTCTTGGATGATTTTCTTGGTCAGGAGCCCCTTCGCCACAGGCATGAGGACCCAGCCTGGCCACCAGTAGCCAGAAGAACAGAGTGGGGTGCACCATCCTGGACAAACAGAGACACAGAGCACGGTCACCCAGTCCAGCAGAGCGTGACACCCCGGAACTCTTCCTGCTGCTTTCCTCCTCCGTTGAGAGTCCTGGGGTACACAGGCTTTGGAATCAGGTGGGCCTGGGTTCGAATCCTGGCTCTGGAACTGTGTGACCCTTGATGTGAGCCCATAGTGGGTGAAACACAGCAGGTGTTTGGTAAAACTATAGGTCTTAGGGAAAAAAGTCCTAGCTGTACCCTTCAGGCTTCTTTAGATTTTAGTTATAATAATAAATTCTACTTAAAACATAATACTCACAGTATAAACATTCAGCTCCCCACCCGCTCAACCAATCCTGCTCCTCAAAGGTAATCAGTTTTAAGAATTTGGTCTAGAATTTTTTCTTTGGGTCTGCATATGAATTGAATATATGATATTTACACATAGAACATAGTTACATGTATGAATAATTATATATGCACCCTTCAAAATGAAGTGGAATTTCTTTTGCAAATTGTTCCATTACTTGCTTTTTAATTTGATATATGATAGATGTCTTTTACTAATTTGTCAGTAGGCGCACATCATTCCATTATTTTAATGGTTATATATATTGTGTATGAAGGATTCACTTACTGTAAGTTATTAAATTGGCCTCTATTGATAGGTGTTGATATTTTTCCTGCTCTTTCAAAAATGTTTCCTGAACATCTTTGTATATATATCAAAATGTGAGTGATTTTGTAGAGTTCATTTATGAATTTGGCATGCATATTTGAAATTTTCCTAGGTACTACCAATTTGCCATCCAAAAGGTCTGAACCCATAATGTTCCTACAAACTCTGGGCAAACCTGTCTACGCCACCATGCTCTTTCTGATTGGGTATTGGCATCACTTTATTTTTGACTGTTTAATAGATGGAAATAGAGTGCCAACTTTTGTTGTACTTTTTTGTTGTTGTTCAACTGTCTTTTTTCCCCTTGATTGGGTTGCAGGAAATTCTTAAGTACATAACAGTGGGACTTTGCCGGTCATAGATGCTGCAAAAGTTTTCTCTTGAAGTTTTTTTTTTTTAAGACTTTATTTATTTATTTGAGAGAGAGAGGGAGGGAGGGAGAAAGAGAGAGAGAAAACGCATGAGTGGGGGGAGGGTCAGAGGCAGAGGGAGAAGCAGACTCCCTGCTGAGTTGGGAACCCAATGGGCTCCATCCCAGGACCCTGGGATCATGACCTGAGCCGAAGGCAGACACATAACCGACTGAGCCACCCAGGTGCCCCTACTTGCCTATTTTTCTGCCAGTACCATACAGTTAAAAATACATTAGATATTGTGCAAGGCAACTTGCTTTGTTTTCTTTTTTCAAAAATTATCAGGTTTTTTTGTGGATTTATTCCACCAGATGAACTTCAGGAACTATTTGCAAATTGAAAAAATCCAGATGGAATTTCATTAAGAACTATTAATTTGAGGGCAAACGTCTCTCTTTCTAAAAGTGAATCTTTTAAACCAGGATGCAATATAGCTCTCTAAAAATTGGGACCTTTTAAAATTCATTCCCCTTTCCTGTTACACTTATATCCTAAACTGTATGGAGCATTTATACACATTTTCTGTTGTCATTGCAAATTAGCTCCTGAGCAGGAACTCCCCACCTCCAGCCATGCTGATGGATCGGGAATGGGCACCTGATGCAGGACAGCCAGACTCTTCCTTCAAAATTTGTACTTGGGACTGAGTGGGCCTTGTCCTGTGCTGACTTCCCTTGTCCCATGGCTGACTTCCCTGTCCTGTGAGCACGGGAATGGTGATGTTTGTCACCATGGAATGGGAGAAGTTGGCAGCTTGGTCTAGAGAGAGAGGGGTTAGGTAGGCTCCCTGAGAGAGGGAGAGAGAGGGAACTCCTGGGTTTCCCATGCAACCTAGGTCCTAGTCTGGGGATCAGGGTGCCCTGTCACTCTGTCAGGCTGGGCAGGGGTGGACACCAGCCTATCTCCCCACTATCTTCTGCTGTGGTCAGGTCTCCCCATCTTTGGAGCCCCTGTGCTTTATGATTTGGTAAAATATACCTTCATTCTAAAAAGTTGCTAAGGAAAACTTGGGGTTAGGGCTAGGGTGGGGGTCACCGATGCCCCACTTCTTTTTTTTTTTTTTAAAGATTTTATTTATTCATTTGAGACACAGAGATACAGAGAGAGAGAAAGCATGAGCAGGGAGAGAGGCAGAGGGAGAAGCAGGCTCCTCGCTGAGCCAGGAGCCCGATGTGGGGCTCGATTCCATGACCCTGGGATCACGACCTGAGCCGAAGGCAGACGCTTAACCATCTGAGCCACCCAGGTGCCCCACTGATCCCCCATTTCTTAAAAACGTCCAGAATCTGAATTTGCCTTCTAGATCAGTGGGAAACTCCATGAAGCCAATAATACAAGTTATATAGTAGGGAGCACTTATATGCTCAGGGCTAAACTCTTTGTGAGTCAAAGTTCAATGAAATAGTCTATGTGCTCATGGCACGTAGTAAGCGCTCGGCAGAAGTTGGCTGTTCCTATTTCTGTTAGGGCTATCTTTCCTGCAGGCTATTCTTTGCTAGCCTTCTGCTCAGATGCCTTGTCTGCCCTTTTCTGCCATGTTTTATGCTCCAAAAGGCTGACCCCCTCTGGACCGGACTGCCAGGCTCTCTTGGCCGCTGACTTCTTCTTGGGTTTGGTCGTGGGTGGGATTGCTGGGCAGGAGAAGAGAGAGGTTTCCTGCTTCAGCTCCATGCCTCTGGAGCAGCTGTGTCCTTCCACCATCTTGGGTCCTTCCAGATAACCCCTCCTCCATGGCTCTGGCTCTCACCATTTCTTCCCTTTACTCCTTCAGCTCTGGATAGGCAAGAGCTCGCTGGTTTTGCTAACCTCTGGGTGTCTCATCAGAGACCCTGCTGTTTTCCCCTCCCATTTTCCCACACCTTCCTATGCTGTCTCTTCATAGAAGTCTCATCCTTTGAACCAATACTCTGAGTAATGCTCTATTTAATTTTTGCAACAACCCCTGCAAAATTTCAAGTCCCAAGGAGGTGGAATGGCTTGTTCAAGGTCAACAGCTAGCCAGGGACTGAGCCAGCACACTTGAGTCAAGGTCTGCTGCCCCGCAAGGCTTGATTTTATCCTTCATTGGCTCCCTATTTCTGGACAAGATGACTCTATGATAAGACTCACCTGTGGGTAAGCCACAGGTCCTATGGCATTGCTCTGTTCCCTCCCCATATCCTACCCCAGACTACGGCCCATAACTGTGCAGAGAGAGCTATGCCTCAGGAACGAACTGGGAGCCATGGGGGCCAGACATGAAGCTAGGGGAAGGAAATTTTTACTTACAGGCCAGGCACTAGGAGTCTGACATATCTGCAGCACCCTCCAGGCTGGCCCCTGTGGACAGGGGTCCTTAGCTAAGGAGAAGAGAGGATAGCCAACATCAACAGCTGATTCTGGTGGTCAGGGAGGCAGAAGCACACAGAAAGGGCAGGTTGTACCCTCCTTAGGCAAATGTTCCAGCCTGTGGCCCGCTGCACCTGTACCTTTTGGGTGCACAATGTGCAGTGCTCACTTGTCCGTGGGGAACTAGAGGAACAGGAAGTGGAAGGTGGCTTTGTTACACTGTTAGAGAGACTAAGGAGGAAGGATGGATGCCATATTCTGTAGGGAAAGTGTTTTTTCCTTCTTCCCATCCATCCATCCATCTGCTTCTGAAGCACCGCGCTTAACCCTGGGTGGGCACTGAGAGGAGATTCAGAGTGATCTTATTGCTGCCTTCAAGAAGATTGCCTCCCTTGAGTCCATGGATGCCTATTGTCTCCATACTCAAATACCTCAGGGATAGGTACTGGGGTGTGTGCAACTCTAGAATGGGGAAACCCTGAATTGATGCAAGAATACTGAGTTGACAAAGTTTATATTAAACTAACAGAATTTAACTAGAGTTGACTAAGATTAAGCTTCCTCCACCAGACAGAGTAGAGACTTAAGTACTCAGTGGAAGCTCCTGGAAGGATGTAAACCTGACCTGTCCTTGAGGATGGGCAGAATCCAGGCAACCACACAGGAGGCAGAAGAGATCCTGGCTAAGCAAACTCTGAGTGGTGCCCCAGATGGGCTCAGATTCCGCTGCAGTCACAATGCCTTCCTCCAGTTTGTTCATGTACCTTTGCTCCCTCTTGCCCTTCTCCAGGGCATGGGCAGTGTCTTAATTCCCAAGCAGAAGCCCAAGGCCCAACAGATCAATATTGATATGGTACTATTAATGATAGCAACACATGCAAGGGGAGCTGCCATCTTATTTATTTGTTTAACATTTTCTAGGTGGTAGAATATGTGCTGTATACTAAAGGGACCCTATGAGGAGGCAGTAGTCCTGTTTTGCAGGTGAATCCAGGAAGGATTGAGTAGCTTGTTCAAAAGCAAGGTGCTTGCTGAGATTGGGGCAGGCTTGGCATGCAAAACTATGTGACACCCTGATCAGCATTCTACTATAATAGATGGCTTCCTGAGAACAGGCACATTCTGAGGTTGCTGCGGAGGTTAGAAGAGAAGTGGAAAGGTGGTTTGAAGGCTTAATTAGAGGTTGAAAAGAAAGCTATTCATATGGAGAGCTCGTACCTGTCAACACACGCGCACACATACGCACAGAACTAGTCTCCAGTTTAGTCATTTCTTCTAGAGTATCTTTGACATATTTTCCTCTGATGAAATGGCCAGTAGTTTTTATCTGACACATCAATTTTAAGCAATTGGTAGGTGCTGCCAGAGAGACTGAATTCCAAAGGCATTTGAGACTCCCTCTTTCTGTATGAGAGTGCCTTAATCCATTAACCAGAACCGTCTTGGATGTGGGCAGAGGAAGCCAGACGACTTAAAATAATGGAGACACCCAAATCTAGGACCCTGGTGAGGAGGTTAGACATTTGGTCTGGGAGAAGAGGAACTGAAGCAGATGGGCAAGTCAAAATGTAAGACCCCAGACAGTGAAATGTCCC